ATATTTGTACGAATTAGATATTTGCAAACCAGTTTAAACAAGTAAAAATAACCTGAAATATGCCCACACCGTTAATTAACCTGGTTGAGTGCCAAATTAATTAATTTATGGTTGAGATACCTTTGAATACAATGATGATAAATGATAACATAATATATTACCTACATTCGGAAGAAAAGTCTAAACAAACACGGTCGTCTGCCAGTATTTATTTTGTAAAGATATTTATACTAAGATATTATAATATATCGTTTTATTGTATTTAAGCCTTAGAATAGATTGAACTCATTTTTGGCAAAAAAAAAATACGGTAAGCGGAAAATTGGTACGGTACGGTCAATTGTGCTTTGATTAAAAGAAATGAAATAGGCGGAATATTGGTACTATTAAATAAATTATTTTCAGTAGTTCAAAAAATGGAAACGAAATTAAATTAACTATAAGTTCCCAATAATACAAAAGGTGGGCAAGTAGGTGTCGCTTTGCTGCACAGTAGTTTATACACTATTATATAATTAATGATTTCTCCTTATGTAATACATTTTAACTATAATATTGCTAATTTAAATTTTACGGGTTTAATTAAATTTGTTGTAATTTTTCCCGGACATTGTAATATGTTGTATTTTGTGAACATTTTCAACATTTCCACCTAATAGTATTATTATTTTTTCTTAAAATTACATACGAATAATTCTTGTACGGCAATGATGCATTTTCCATTTCAGCTTTAAAACTATCCGTTATAACAAAATTGAAAATTGTGGGCACGTGACACGTGGTAATAATCTGGACTTTATAGTTGTACTACGTCGAATAAAACCCATACAACATCTTTATTCATCGTTATTGACATTTTAATTTGTCATTGATGATAAGATTAATACTTCCTTAACATTTCAAGCAGTACTTATCTAACATGTAGACAATTTATAATTGTTTTTTTTATATAGTTTAAGAGACCCTGCATTTTAACGGTAGTACTTTCAAAACGACCGTACCAATTTTCTGACAATCAAATAATACATTCTGTTAGGTGACAGTACCTAATATGGTATAAGTTATAATGGTCATCATTATGTATATTTTCATTTGTTACGATTGATATAGGAAATAGTGGAAAATATAATATTAATAAGTAATAACTAGGTATCTATAACCTAAATTTTTTTTTATATTTTTTTTTTTACTGCGGTAACTATTATGAACAACCTTATTTTAAATTTAAAAATACATCAGCATTCACCCCAATGCTTGTTCCCATCGGTAGGTCGCTGTAAAATTCATTGTGATGATATATTTTGTAGAAAGACAATAATAGGGCATCCATATAATTCTTAAATTTTGAATCATAAGGTATAATATTATGTATTAAATATTTTGTATATAATTTTATTTTTAGAAGAGATACGTAAGTGCATATTGTATTAACTTTATTTTTTAATTTATTTAATTTTGTAATTAAATTTTTGCGATTTGTGTCTCAAAACTTATTTAATGATGCATAATGATCAATGATGATCATACAATAATTTATACCTACTCGCTGAGTACCATTATAGCTATGAATCCGTTTAGTTGTGAAACCATCACTTATTGGGTGTTACTATTACTATCATTGTAAATACTAAAGATAGACCTATACAATAGGCATTGTATAAAATGTTGACTCAAACTATATAAAAAACCAATCAACTTACATTTAAAACGTATTACCTATAGTCCATACTATAACGGTAGCCGGTAGATCCATAATATCACATTAATAACAAATTATAATTATAACTATTTTATTTTTATTTTTAGAAAAAGCAGCGAAGAGTACGTATATACGTATTTAATTTAATTTACACTATCGTTACGTGCCCTATTTAATATGTATAACATAGGTACCTCATGTTTCTAATAGTGTGGTGATATAATTATTTAGGTAGGCAATTAATATAAAATAACATGCTAAGGTTATTGCAAAGAGCGTAGTCAGTAATCGAATTAGGGGGGGATGCACAGGTGGGCGGAGCTTCCCTACTATTTTTAATTTTTTTTGCTTAACTCTGCTATTTTTTTTTTACTTGGACGGGGGGTCGGTACAAACTAATGTCCAAAATAATAATTATCAATTATATAACGAGTTAACTATTACACATTAAAAACGTACTAGCACAGATAGATAGCTGAAAAGTGTTAATACTTATACTACATTTTTAAATATTTTAAATACAATTTAAGACTTTTTGAGCGACTATCATAGACCATAAAAATAATTTTTTAATTTTCTTAACATTTCGGTGGGGGCTACAGCCCCCTCAGCCCCTCCCTTGGATACGCCACTGAGTGGTATTTAAAATGTATGTAAGGTAGGAGTGTGTGGGGTGTGGGGGGCAAAGCCCCCCACGAGTCTGTGTTGAGTAATTTCGCACATGGAACGCAGTTTTTAAATCGTTGGATTGAGCTCCTCTCCTTAAATTTTCCCAATTCGAGCATTGAGCGTAGTGAACACAATACTAAATAATTAAACTATAAAAGTGTTGTCACACATCTCTCCCCGGAAAATTCTCGATATTCGTGAAAAAATATGCGAATCGACCACAGTTCCAAATTATGCTACGACTCTACGAGACCCGAATTCTGCCTTGTGCTGGATATTCACCACTTCTACGACCACCCATTGTTATTGGGACTTGGTACTGCCGTCAATTTTAGCTGAAAAGACCTAAAGTATTGACAAAATTAAAGTTAGTTAACGTTGTCCGATTTTGATTCTTAAAAAAAAATTGAACTCGCCAGACAATTGTTTATAAATCCTACAAAGCACTTTGTAAAATCTAAATTTTATATTATTGTGAACTGTAATTGAAAACATTAAATTATCAATTTTTTTGAATCATAATTTAAATAAAAATTAATATTAAAAATGGAAAATGTTTCGTATGATCTACAAACATTTTCTGCTGAATACAAATATTTTTTCAGAATCAAAATCAGACAACGTTAACTAACTTTAATATTGTCAAAACAAATGTATGTTTTTGTAAAATTCATGTAGTGAAATTTAAAATGTTAATTAGTTATTGGCATGTGCATGTGCGTATGAGACTGGATACCCGCATTTAATTTCATTCACACTAATAATCATTTACAACTAACACATAGATCCCGGGCGGCTATGACAAGATTAGAAATTGCCTAAATGTTGCCCCTTAAATAATGACCGTACCGAGGCCCCTGAAGGGGATCGGAGCCAGTGCGTTTTTTGGTACAAAAACATGTCTTACAGGAAAAACTCTCACACCCTGTAGGATTGCCAGATTTCGTTAATTTTTTTTTTATCTAAAAGTAGAGAACATTTTGTAGGTCGGATCAAATCCTGATTTTGAAAATTATAACTATTGAAGCTGGAATATTTGAAGAATGCGCAATATTTGTCCTTTTTCAAACTTATTTTTCTACTACTATTTAAAGTAAATTAAAAACTCGAGCTTTGATCTGACCTGCAGAAACTTCTCATCTTTCAGATAAAAAAAAATTGACCAAAATCCGACATATCTACGAGGCATGAGAATTTTTTCCTGTGAAACCATTTTTGTTCATCAAAACAGTGCTTCGATAATAGTCATCGAAGTCCAGAACTGACTTGTGCATGCGCGTTCTTAAATATCTTTATCAGCGCGTTTAATTATGCCTCACTCACACTAATATCGATTTACATTCTCACACACATGCACGTTCTGCGCAAGGCCGACACAACATGTGAATTAATTGCCTAAATTGTACTCCATAATAAATGACCGACACCCTTAAGGACGAGAGCATATTATATAAGCGAGACCATGACAAGAGCTCGTCAGATGGTTAGAGATACGCTGAGACAGGTCGTAACACCACTCACGCCAATCTATTATAATTTAATATTGTATTTTTGTATTAAATTTATGTTAATTAAACACACATTATATCTATATACAACACGTCTTCATTTTCCTGAGTTGATGTATATCATGTATATATATACCGTGTGTAACAGAAAGAACTGACCAAAAAAAAAAAAAAAATGATGCTACTTAAATGTATGACAAAAATTGTTGAAATTATATGATTAGTAAATAGTTTTAAGAATATACCCATGTTATAAAATTTCCAAAAATAATATTTTTAAAAAAGCTATTGCGTTCCAAATTTATTTTATCAAAAAAATATTGATATTTAAAAAAATTCTAAAAAATAAACTACTAGACTTAGATAAATGTTTTTACCATCCAAATCGTTCTTAAAATCAGATTCACAAGTTTGCTATTTTGAATTTATTCAAAAAAATTTAAGTCAAATTTAAAATTTTTTATTTTTAGTATAAAAAAATAAAAATAATTTTTTTCCTCTTACACGTGTAGAGCAAGTGGCTATAAATTATATATAAAAAAAAAAATTAAAAATAATGATCAGAACAAAAGTTATTCCAAAAGTCAGTTCTATCTGTTACACCCTGTATATAAACACAAGTTAGGGGACGTAACAGTATAAAATTAAAAACAATAAAAACTAATCAATACTATCTAATATTTCCATTCATATAAACAACAAACATACTTAAGCAACAATATTTATATATTTCGTGGCTTTCTATTTTTCTAATACCTCTTTAAGTCCAAAACCAGAAATCAGTTTAATGCATTCAATTATGTTGTTTAAATGCACTTAATGTTGAAATGTAGAAACACCATTTTTTCCAAATTTTTATTTTATTTTAATATTATTGATACATACGTGATTACTAAAAAGTATACGTACGTCGTACAGCAACATAAGTAAGATGAATTCAAATGAATATTGATATTTAAACGATATTTTTTGTATGATGAACAATTTGTTGAATTTGTTGAATATTTACAATTTTAACTTATATGATATAGCTAGGTATAACAAAAATAATATGAAACGTTGTTACAATGTAGTTTATATTTACAGACGTTGTTGTACTATACGAGAATTGTAAAACTCCAGGTATGAATGAACTAAAAATATACCCTCCGCTGAATAAAATCATGGCTGGTCAAGCATTCAAAACAGCTTCCTACACCGCACCGCTCGTCCTTGCGACCGTTACCAATTTTGCATACAGAACGCTCACGCGACAACAAAGTCGTGTACGTGTTTATAAAACAATACAGTGTATGGGGTTGATATTGGTATGTTTCGGGGAACCAATCAAGAACCAGCTGCTCGAAACGGCCGCAAAATGGTCCTCGTCCGCCGCCCAGTCATGATCTTATTCCGCCATTTCCGGGGCACGTATAGTCTGTATTAAATATTAAAGTGTTAGGCATTTTATATTTTTTATTTGTTTTTTAAATTTATGTTGATAACGTTTTACTGTTTTTGGAAAAAGTATTGGTTAAATTTATCAAAATCAGAAAGTTAAAAAAAATATTTTTAAGTTTAAAATAGAAGAAAATCTCAATATTTTCAATAGGTACAATTAAATGGACTTGTGTTGAATACATTTTGGCCTGGTTTGTGTGCTAAAAATTGCACCTCTTTATTTATGTACCTACACAAATCGAGTTCTGGATGCCTTTGTGGAAGGCATTCTAATAAAGACACTCAAAATTTGTAATACTAATTTATTTTGCAGATAAAATATATAAAACGACAGGTGAGTTCTGTAAGGAGGAAGTTAAAACAGAAAAACTTGAAACGTTTATTACGAAAATGTTAACAATTTAATGTACTGACAGAAGGTTAATCATTTTGATTAATCATTTTAAGATAAATATAAATTAAATTGTATAATTCAATATTATATCAAATTATATTATATTAACAAGATTCTATTTATAAATATATACTATTATAATAATTCATTCTAAAATAAATGCGATGTTACGGCAAAAATAATTCAACATGTTATAACACATAATAAATATTAATACAATAGGTATATACTAATACAAGCTGATCCCGTGTACTTCATTTTCCATTAAATGTACCAATTATATATGACTCAAACTTTGTTCAATTTATTATTTAATATTCGGTTTATGGTGTTCAAAATTTATCTTAAGTTTTCTCTTGACTGGGATAAAAATTATGATTCGCAGCAGTGCATTGTAAGTACGTAACTTTATAATTTAAATCTAAAGTATCAAAGTTATACCAAGTATATCACTGAACTCTTCCTAAACGGCTGGACTAATTGTGAAAGCCGAGTCTGTCGACCAATATTTCCTCCTCATCCAAGAATACGTGGCATTATTTTATTTACGTAACTTATATGTGAGTATAATAAGCTCAATATCGGCCCAGCCATTCTCAATTGACGAATTAAGATACATTTTTAACACAATTTGTTTATATATAGATGAAGCATAAAATAAAATTGTGAATAATAGATCACTTGTAGAAGTATTTCGTATAACATTGTGAAAAAAAAAAATTGGAAAAATGTTAAATAGTGTCGCCACAAAATGGGAACATATATATAAGAAAATTAGCGTTGTTTTTTAATTTTTCAAGGACTTTATACTTATTTTTTATTAACAAAAATGGTACTAAAACCTTCAGTTGATTTTCAGGTATAACAGTTAAAATTTTCAGCTAAATCTGTTCAGTAGTTTTTTCGGTTAGTGAGGTCGTAGAAAACCCCTTACAATTTTATACAGTAGTATAGATATAATATAAATAATAACACAAATCAACAAACCTGCCCGATTAACCAATAGCAACCAATATATAATACACTATTATTATTTTAATGTGCAACAATAAACTAAATTTCTTATTATTTAGTTTACTTTTTTATGGAAAGATTGCGCCACTGTTGTATTTTTGACATCCCTATTTTCTAATTTTCTGGTGGATTTTCCTACAATTTTCTTTCATAAGAACTTTGTCCTGACAATTACGAACACAAAAAAAAAGAATCAGCCAAATCGGTTCAGTAGTTTTCTCGGTTAGCACGGTTAAAGAAAACCCTTACAATTTTATATAATAGTATAGTTATAGATTTCACCAAGGCTTTTTGATCGTGTTGATAATAAATTATTAATGAGAGTGCGGTTGGATTTCGGCTTTGGTAAGCCACTGTTATCATGATTTGGCTCTTGTATTCGTGATCGTAAGAAATTTGTTAGTTTGTTTGAATTGTTTGGTGTAAAGTCTAATATTATTGATGTACCATCTGGCGTTCTACAGGACATCTTCGGATCTAAAGTTATTTTTAAAAATTAATTCTTTAGAGGACATTGAATATTATTACAAAATGATATTAACTCTTTAGTAAGGTTGGCCAATGATCGTGGTTTGGGGCTTAATATTTCAAAGTGTCGTTCAATGCCTTTCTTTAGGACTCGTAAGAATATTAATTATCCATATGTGTTTAGTAATAATATTTTGTTGTCTGCAGACAATGCAATAACTTATTTGGGTATAGTTTTTAATCACGAATTAAATTTTCATGCATATTTAGACAAGAATGTGTTGTAAAGCTTTAAATAAAAGCTACATATATAAAAAGCATTTGTAGTGAAACTTTAAATTCCTTATATTGTTTTTTTGTGAGGTCGATATTGGAATATAGATCTATTTAACCAACCATTATACCGTATGATGAATATAGCCAATAAGGACCCATCACTCTAATTTAAAATATCTTGTACAAACAATATTTATTATATTTGTTAATATTGAATTAAATTGGGCACGTCCCGCATTTTTAAATAAAAATATAAAATAACATAACTTCTAAATTTAAATTTTATTGAAATTGCTATTTACTATTTCAAATATTCTTAATATTGGGCTTTATTGTTGAAAGTTGTATTATCATAATATTATACTCGGTATCAAGTTGACGCGGTCCATCCTGCACGGCTGTCCTCAATATTATGGGTGGACGGAGGTGACATAATGTGAGTGAATAATATATTATATTATAATATAAAAGAACTACTAAGTTTTGCATATCAAACATGGTAGAACATACACAGTAAAGAAGGAATCAGTTATATTTATAAAGTATTAGGGTGTTGATTACATCCACAGTAACGAGATATCTCAGTACAGGGTAATCTAGTGACAATCCAACAACCTATTGATTGTCCGGGCGGGCGGCCAGTGACGTGTTCTTACAGCTCCTCCAAGACGTCCTCACGGTTGGTGTGAGGAGTATCGGTTGCCGTGACTGGTGGTTGTAGAGAATTAATATAGATAACAGTAAAAGGTAGACGTTTGTTAAAAACGCCGTAATCCGTTACGCGTATTAGGAAACCCAGGACGCCACAGAGCGTCTTATGTATACCACGTTCTCATTGGCCCATTTCAAATTGCCCGCTTTTTTTTTTATCATTTATCAAATAATTAAATTTAATTTAATAATATAATATTAATTTAAATATTATATTATATTATTTAATTTAAACAAATTAAAATAACTATTTAGTAGGAAAAGGTACCTAACTAATATTAAACAATATTATTATGTTATTATAATTTAATAAATTAATGTAGAATGTGATCTCTACACAGTTATTTTTATTTTTTACTTTAGTAGGTGAAATTCATGAAATTCATTATAGCAGGCTTATAATAATGTTTTCAATTGATCAAGTTTAAGTAAAAGTTTAATACTATTAATAATTTAACCCAAATTACTAGGTACTAAAAAAATATACATTATATTATTATATTTATTATAACGGTTCACGGACCACCAAGATTATAAGATTATAAGATAAAAGTGGTCTGTGGACTATAGGTTGGGAATAACTGTTTTAGTGCCTGTAGATAGTAAATATAAAATTTTCATAGTTCTGCCATTTTCAAGATTTTTGGATCATCCCCTCTTGAACACAGAGGCCGGTTGATCATGCATTTTTTGGTTCACTGAACCGCCAAAAAGTTTAGGGTGGGTGTCATTTAATAGGTCTTAAACTTGGTCTTAGTAATCACTAATCAGTGTCCGGTATAGCCGTATAGGTAATATAAAAATGGTTACAATCACATACATTAACTTATCAACTTGTGAAGTTATAAACATAAAGTACCTACTTTTATGTGACATTATTTTGTTATCCGAAAATCGCAATCAATTGTATACTAGAATGTCTATTGAATTATAATAATATCATTATATTACTGAACTCTTCTCTAATGTGAAATTGGCTGAAATGTAGTCACTTATACTGAATTCAACAACTGATGTGTCAAAGCACGATAATCAGTTTCTTTTTGTGTATAAGTGTAGGTATTGTAAACAAAATTTGAGGTTTTTTTAATTTGAATAATTTTTCTATAATACATTTTCATCCCATTTCATCGAATCCCACTTGGCTGACAAAAAAAACCAGCTGTATATGGATTGATAACAAATTCCATAATTTGGCCGAATAATATTTTTCCTAATACCACTTTTCCTAGGTTCTTACTCATCAGACTTTGGATGGGTAGGCACTACGCCCTGGGAACTAACCGTTAGAAAAACGTGCAAAGTAATGTACAGTAGGTATATGACTCACTGTATGTACCTATATTTTACTTTACATTGTTATTATAAATTTAAACTACACCTATAAAACTTTTAGAGTGCCTTTATTATTAAAATAAAAAACTGCACACTAGTGAAGCCGGAATATTCAGCATCGAAACAGATCATATCGTATATGTATACGATTTTGTTTTGATCAAAGAATTAAAAAACCAGCAGCAACATTTTGAGCTTGGTATTTTAGCTCAAAAAGATGTAATCAAGTTCCAAAAAATAAGGATAAAATACAAAACGTTAGAAGAAAGATTAAAAACTGCAAAATAGATGTAAATAGTTATCAGTTATCATATATTCAACATGGGTAGTGGCCAGTGGGTATATATATACATTTATTTCACCTGAGCCAATTTAAATATCTTACCGAAGTAATTGCATAGTGTTTGACCACAATACTCCACTGAAAATATTTTAATATTACCATGTATAATATATGTATATCGCCCATAAGCAGTGCATATTTAAAATATATTCAGATTAATAGATTTAAAGCTATTATAGGTGATTGCTATTTTTGAAACCTGAACATTTAATATAAGGTTCACTTATTTTACTAAGCACCCACAAATGTTATTAACAATTACATGGTTTTCGACAAAGATTTATTCAACCTACAGACATAATTTATTTACATTACCTACAGTAATATAAATAAATTATAAAACATCATAAGAAACAATTATTTTTAGAATTTAATGATTTAATTATAAATTCAAACTAAAATCA